TTTGTATTGACTGCAATGAGCCTAAATGTTCTGTAATGCTAAAAAAAAATAACCAACAAATCTAAAAAAATTACAAACACTGTTATTTTTACGTACATTTTAAGTTCAAATTTGAACACAGTTTTTTTTATAGTTATTTTAGTTTCAAATTTGGACGAAATTAGTAATTACATATTACTCCTAAGGGCTAAGAGAAACAGCTTTAGTTATTTTGTTGTGATCTAAAATATTATTTGTGGGTGTATGAATCTTTAAGAGTACATTATATATTTTATTTTATACTAAATACTAATATATTATAGACTGACACTGTCGGGCGTCATCGCCGTCTTCACTCAGAACCGTTTATTACCTATATACAATGATAATTGAATTCAAATTTAACGTATCTATTACAGTGACCCTATAGACACCAAATGTACAGCAGAGTGTTACATAATTACCCACTTTTCTTTTTATTTAATCACATTTCATATCTGTTCCATAGTATGATTCCGGTCATCATCATCCCTCCATTTCTCCGTTTCTACATAGAAGACTATGTTATCGGCAAACCTAAGTGCATTATGATTGTTTTGCAATATATTCTATTTTAAGTTCTAACTCCTTACTTAACTTGTATTCTTAGTGCATCCATCACTTCTTGGATATCTAAATTAAAAACAAATAATTCAAAAACAAAATAAAATTCAAAAGATTCACAATAAATTTAAAAACGTTTAGTTAATCTGTAAGAAAAATGTGTACATTTGCATATTATATGAGTAATTTGTATTCTTCATGTTTAATTTCACTAACTATAGTTGAAATAGATTTAAATAAATAGTATTTCATGAGCTGTGGTCAATGTGTCATAAATGAAAACATTTTAGCAAAAATAAAAGACCAGAAATCTTTGAGATGTGGTACTGACTACTGAAAGAGTATAAAAGGATAAAAGTTGGATAGATATTAGAAAGGAAAGCATACGAAAAAGTAATTACAGTAGGGTCTCGATAATCCGAACGAGATTGGGCAAAAGGGTCGTTCGGATTACCAATTTGTTTATTTTTTTTTTTTTTTTAACCTATGGCTTCAAAAAATCAATTTAATTGTAATTTAAATTATGAAATTTATTTTTTCTGTATTAATCATGTAAAAACTCGTAATTTAAAAAGACAATGAATACAAAAAAATTATATAATTATAATATAATATATATTGCACAGCCAGCTAATATAACATTTAATGCATAATATGAACCTTATTACTTAAAATATTGATTTATTTTTTTTTTATACTGGTTCCTATTTGGTGATTAAATGCATTGTCCCGCAAACGTCTAAGCAAACATTGGTTTAACACACAACTTTCAACGTTTTGTTCAGCACATTCGATGGGCGTATTCAAGTCTTTTGTGCGATGTACAAACGTAATCGACAAATTTCATAACCGGAAAATACTATTACATATTATGATACACATACATATTACGTATTAATATAGCGATGCGATAATTCTCAAGCTCGTTGAATTACAGCTTCTTTCGGATTAGCCTATGTTCGAATTACCGAAACCCTACTGTACCTACTTAGAATTGTTAAAGAAAAACAAACATAGATGAAATTAGAGCAAGGCGTTGAAGAATAGTTGGATATGACCTGAGACACACAGAAGAGTTGGCAGTTGCATAATATAATATTATATTATATATATGTATAATAAAATGTATTGTATTATAATTGTAGAAGGTATCTACAATAAAAGGAAAGAGCACAACAGGGTGTTAACAAAAATCTTATGGTATACAGAATCAAATTAAAAATTATCAAGTGGCAAAATATTTATGTACTTAATAGACCTAAAAGTCTATTAATATAAAATGTATAATATTTTCATGTACTTAAGGTAATTTGAAATTATCTACATTTCTATTGAAAATTAGACAACTTTTTTAAAGTGTGGTTGAGTCCTTTTAATTTTTCTAGAAAGTGAAAACATTTCTGAACGTTGATTTTGAACTATGATTGTAAGAATGATAATTATAAGACATCATCTTTAATGTATAAAAACTTTATAAACAAATTATTATTACCTTGCTTATAGTTTTAAATATTTCAACAAACTTACTTTTATCTTATATATTATTACCTACCTACTCTATCTAAACAGCTTTATTTAATTTATAATATTTAATACTGTTATATTATTAAATAGTATCTTAATTTATTATTTAAAATTGTATAATTTCTTATATGATTAAATATATTTATTATTATTATGAATCTTATGTAAAACAATAGAACTTTAATCCCCGCTACAAGCTATAGCTTATATAGGGGACTAGTAACTCTTTTATTTAATTATTATGTATAATGTACATATTATGTTTTGGTTACAATAAATTATTATTATTATTATTATTATTATTATTATTATATTACAATTTGTGGTGGGCCATAGAGGGGAGACTTTTTAGTATAGGACTGGGCCTACCCTAGTCCACCCCTGGCTCCCTCATGTATCAATAACGCACTAAATGAATATTAAAAGGACGCTATACCCGCATGTGTTGTCTCCGTCTTACAAGATATAATAAAAAGCCCATGAGAAGCATTCCATAATAATCTTATCTTTAATTTTTAAAAACGTAAAATTTGATATATTTACGGAGACAACACATGCGGGTCATCTTAACAAATTATTTTGTTTACTTTTTTGTGTAAAGTATATTCAATTTTTTTCCAAATGCGTCAACTGACCTAGTTACCCGATAAAATGTCTAATAACTTATTTAAATTTATCTTGAAGTTTAATTAAAAACAACTATCCAAAAATGTTTTAATTAATTTTTTGTAAGTTCAATATTATAACAGTTAAAAAATGTTAATATTTCGCATTTTGAAGGGTTGAGAGTTTAAATTCAAAGAATTGAAAGTCATTTTCCAGTTAAATTCTTGAAAAATTCAAATATTTTATCAAAAGTTGTGTACAATAAATTACTATGATAATTAAAATAAGATTTTTAGAAAACACAGACATAATCAGATCCCATTAGTATATAGTATTAGTTGTAACCAAATTGTTTTTTTTAAATTGTAATAAGTATTATTAAGCATCGATCACTTGCCTGCAAATTTTAAATTTGTCTAATCAATTCAAGGACTAGTATTTACTTTTAACATTGATGATAAAAATATGTAATGTGCGTACTATACCTTGAATTTGTTATGACTTATGAAAACTGATCGTTGAATGTCACAGATTGCAGAGCTTAGTGTTCAAAATCTTGAAGTCAAACAGTTTAAAAAAAATGAAGTAAATGTCATGAAGCCATCATACTAGTAATGGAAAAACCATATGTTAAGAAGTTTAGCACAACCTATTCTTCAAGAAGTCATATGGCTAACTAAACCATTCTTTTAAGTCATATTGCATAAATTGTATTATTTAATAATTTAAAAGCATTAATGTACAGTATACCTTTCACAGTTATTCACAATATTTTAAACATTTATGACAATTACTTTAACAATGTACACATTTTGCACATTTAATGATACAGCACTACTATAGGTAGTTACAATGTATTCAATTAAAGATCTTTCATTAAATCTAAATTGTTATGCATTTCAATGCATTTTAATTTAAAAATGTTTAACTTAAAGTATTAACTCCTCGTTGAAAATTGAGTGCAAAGAATTTTAGACAATTGATAATAAATTGATAACGTTTTATAATATAGAATTGTTTAAAAAACATTTAAATACCTAGACAAGTAAAATTTATCAAATTGATTTATACAAAAATAATTTATAAAATACAATATTTTTAAAAACTTAAAATTTTAAAGTAAAATTATCTAGAAATTCTCTAGGCTAAACTGGTATATAAAAATAATGCACCGGGATGTTAGAACCATATTATTCACATGGTTTATCATCCCGATACAGAATAATGTGGGATAATTTTAAGGCGGTTTAGTCAAGCAAATTTCTAGTATGTAAAACTTTACTTTTGTTTTTGATAAATTTTTTTATAATATCAATTAATATCTAAGACCAATTCACGTGTAAATAATATTTTTGAGGGTAAATACAAAGTTATTTTTATTATATTATTCAAAATAATATACAAAAATATTTATAGTGTACTTGTGTAATTTATTTTAATTTTATTTAAATCTAGGTTACAGAAAAAAGTTTTGATTCCAGATATACTGATTAATATGTAAACAATTTTTAATTCTAAAATTTGACAATATCTAAGTATTAAAAACTACTAACAGTTATTTAAAAAAATTATAAGTTTTATATGATTTTAATTGGTATACTAAGGGAATAGATAATAATATTTAACATCAAACTAAAAAAGCCGCCATACCTGCATGTGAGAATTTTAAACAACATTTCAACAAATCACAGTTGTGTTCAGAGGAATCCAATATTTGTTTTTTCTAAGTTTAAATAATATAGTAAATTGGCCTATTTTAATGGTACGAATATTACATAGAACTGATCTAGGCCTAATGAGTATTAAGTATGTAAAATATTATAATTTGAAATGTTTATAACACAAATTTTCAATATATCAAGTTTAAATATCAATAAAAGCCCAACAAATGCCCTAAATAAGATCTTCGTATTATTATTATCTTTAAATTTGATAATAAGTAAATTCACTTTTATTATTAAAATTAACACCAAGTGGATTCTATTAGATACAAATGTTCTATGTCATACATTTATGAGGTGGAAAAACACATATAGGTGTAAAATAAAAATACAATTTTTCACTTTCAAAAAAAATGTATGTTCTACATTACTTTAATTACCAATTGTTATTAAATAGCATCAACACAAAACAAGGGTTTAAACAAATTTTTCATAATTTACCTATACAATATTTTTTGTGATAAATAACCATTTTCGAAAAACTACATAGATTTAAATTTTTTCTATAAATTAATATACATTGTATATATTATATGTATACATATTTTTTGACTAGTGACAAGCTTAATATTTTATTGATTTAAGTTTTAAATAAAAATGCAAAATCCAGATGATCCCATGATCTCAACTACATTCATCAAAGTTACAACACTGTTTTCAGTATAACATCAATTCCACAGAGAAAGACTGAAATTAAAGAACAGTACATTCACATGTTTTAGTTCAACATTAATGTCAATAATAAACAGATAATAAAATCATAACACAAACACACGCCCATAACATTTTAATACATCTTGCTGTTACTCAAAATGATTTATGTCTTCTTTTCTTTCTTATTAGTTTTCGATGTTTCTTCTACATCACTATTTTTCTTCTTATCCGCTAACTTGCATTGATTATACACATTGTTCAAGTCAAAAACTGCTTTGAAATTGGGCTGAAATATTAAAAAATGAATGAATTTTTTTGTTTTGAATCTTTTAATAAGGCATACCTCAGTAAAAAAAAATTTAAATATTTTTCCTTTGCTATCATAAGTTGGTCTTCTAAGTTCTTCTACTCCATTTTTGAACATTATAACAGTTGGCAATTGTCGACTTAAAGATGAATCGCTAATATTATATTTTTGAGCAGCATCAGGATATCGACTTATATCTATTTTACCAAATTTAAGATATTTTGTATCATACCTGCAACACAGTTTATAATATTTTAATTTTTATTGTTTATCACTTGCTACAAATACTTAATTTATATTTATATGAGGGGTAGGATAAAGATACCTGGGCACACCTGTATATAGAAACCCATAACTAATTATTTTTTATTTTCTAAGAGTTGAGGTTGGGTTACTATATTTTATACTTCTATGTTAAAAAAAAATATCATCATTTATATTTTCCGGGATGCATGAAAAATGTATTAATTTAATGGTCCAATAAAATTTAATGGACCAATCGTGGACCACTAAACTATGTTTAAGGGATCATTAGCTCATTATTGATTCGATGTGTAGTGATTATTCATGCATAACTTTGTTATTATTTTAAAGCTATAAAATGGAAATATGTATTTATTTATTATTTTATTATTGTAATCAATTATATCACTACAGTAGAGTCTCGGTAATCCAGCAAATATCAGAATAGAGGACTTCCGGGTTATTAAAGTTTCATATAAAAACGTATTTTTTCTTTCAAATACTAGGGACATTTTGATGTAACAAGTAGTACAATACAATAACAAATCATTACACAATACACACATTAACAATAACTGGGGGAATAAATAGGGGGACGAGGTGACCGAGTGGTCTGACTCTTCCGCTGCGACTCAGCCGGTCGCGGTTCAATCCTCGGCCACCGGGCGGCATTTTTCTCCGGACAAGTCGCGGTGACCGGAGAGCAAGTGCTGCCATCCCCCACCCCCGGGGCATGGCAGAAACCTACGGGTGCCCCATTCGAAATTCTGCCAAAACAATCACACACGCGTGTTCCCCCCTACCGTACCAAAAAACATACAAAACCATCAATACAAAAAACCTACAGTACCTACTAATAGCTAATGGCCACAGTTGCTGGGTTCAGGATCAATTAAAAAAAATAATAAAATAACTGAATAATAATAATAAACCAATCTAATTGGTTCATTCAAACTTAAATCAGTTAGTTTTAATAATTGTATGTTTTTAGCAAAAAGTAATCGGATTATTGAACATACTTTCTTATTGCACTGTGGGGTTACCGAAAGTCTACTGCATTATTATCGGAATTATTATACTATCATAATTTTTATTAATAAAGAGTAGAATAATTATATCAAAAATGAATAGTACTCTATGTTTTTTATTATTTCAAACTTAAATATTGTACGTAAATAAATATTGAGACTTTTGTTTAAGAGCTTAAAATACCATTTTCTTAAATTTAAAATAATAACATTATTATAAATGTTATGGTTGTCGTATAATTACGATACACCCTCACTATACAATACTAGTATTTACAATATTGCAAATGTTATGAACGCATTTATTTTAATGTACATTTGTTTAATTTGTCCATAATCAATACATACTGAACAGATAATTGTGAAAATATTGGAGCAAAATTAGCACACGTAGGATTCCACACAGTATAAAAACAAACAAGCCATACAGTATGCTGTTTATTTTCTTTTAGAGCTTCTTCTAAAGTGGCCAATGATCTGAAGTACAACACATTTTCTGGGCCTGAATATGTTGGCTCTGGTAGACATAAGCTTACAACTATAAATTAAATAAAAATTTAACAATCATTACTTTCATGTGCAAGCCAATATTTTGATATACTGCAATATTATAATACAATAATAATATTTATATTATCATTGATTATAACTCATGAAATCAATAGGTAATACAATGTTTTGTTATTTAATCTGTTTAAATAGGTATTAAGTTTGGGAAAAACGTACAGGTAAGTTAGAAAAAAACAACATTAATGTAAAAACTTATATAAAAATGAGTGTATAGCTTATTTCAAAAATTAATTGAATTAATCCTAGATACCTATTTTATTCATTTTCTATTTTTTTTTTAAATTAGTATACTGATTTTTCACAGCAATCTACCACTTATGAAAAAATATATAAAACTGCATACCAATAATAACAGCAGTGAAGAATAAACCAAATCGAACATCTGCATAGAACCACAATAATAAATTTGCTCCTTTAGTGTACAAGAAACTGGATGAGAGATAAGCTAACATAGTGACACTTCCAGCTTTTCTTGTCCGAATCATTACAACAATCATGAGGAATAGTAATATTTCCAATTCTTTCTGTAAGTAACAAGAGTTAATTTTTAAATAATACAAAATTGAAAACCATCATCTTTGATTGGTTATTCAACGAATAAATTACTTACAGCATCTAATTCGCAAGTCTTTTCAGTTGGCGAGAATATATATTGACAAAACATATCCGTCTTTTTGCAAAACACATACGAACACGTAAGTATTATGTTAATCCAATAATAAGGTTTTAGTAAGAGAATCAACTCTTTCTTTTGTATCACCATTGTGAATAAACAATGGCTTTTTGCACTTGTATAAAAGCAACTAGATATAATAGATGAAGATGAAGTTCGTTATCGTCGATCGGAATGTTAATTAATGTAAACCAACGAAATTACTCCAGAAGATATTCAAAAGAAACGAATTTTGTTTCTATTCAACAAAATATTACAAAATTGCAATATTGCATTATTGATATTTAATAACACATTAACACGGTGCCATATTATCACGAATACAGGCATACAACGATCAGCTGGTTTTGATGTTAAGAGGACGGTACACCCGTCCCGCATGACGTGTTGTTTCTGTCTTACAAATGTATGACATATTATCAAAAACTGTTTAACTCATAGATAATAAAGATATCTTTATCATCTATAGTATATATTATAATTCATAACCACCGTCCTATTATATTTGTCTATGATAACCACTCAGGCTATTGTCTAAGCTGAACAACCAAATTTTCACACGATAAAGAGGAAAACATGTTAAATTTTACAACTTGGCCTTAAAACGTGGTTTTTATTTTTCGACATCACAAAATATACTAAAAAAGTTCCTTATTCAAGTTTGAAAAACTAATAATAATGAATTTTTAAATAATAGAAACTTTTTTCATATTTGTGATGTCGAAAAAATAAAAACTAAGTAAATGTTCTCTTTATGGTGGGGAAATTTAGTTGCTTAGCTTGGAGTATAGCCTGAGTGGTTCTATCCCAAGCAAAACAGTTTTTGCTATATTATATATTTGTAAGACGGAGACAACACTTCATGCTGGTTGAGCGTCCTCAAAGGCTAAAATTACCATTTTATATTTATTACGTATAATATTAATATACATAAACATAGCACATAGATATTACAGTTGCCATCCTAAATACTATACTAATTTAGTAAATGAGACTCTATGGCCTAAGATATAATTATGGTAAATACTTGTATACAAGTGTACAATATAACGGTAACTTGACCCCTCCATACCAAACAAATTTTTTTCAAAAATTAGGCTAATGCAGTTGTTAAATAAGATATATAAGAGAATAATAAAAATAAAAAAAGAAAGATTCAAAAATATAAAATGTATATATTTATTATTTATATTTTATTCTTACTCAAATTTCACTAACACTTTATTTTATATAATGTTGTTTACAGAAAAACATGAAATAAAAATTGCAAATGACAAAGTGTCACATATAAAAAAAAAGCGTCATGAAATCAACTAATTTGTAACTGAAATTGTAAACCATAATTTATTGAAAATATTGTAATTCCTGTATAGGTTGCAGAGCTGTATAGTATAGTATGACAAACACAATTATTTTATAATATCAAATATTAAGCATTAGGTTTTTGTTTTTATCCTTAAACTTGTATGAATTGAATTAATTTGTATTTGGAATTTAAGTATTAAAATCTCAATGATACCATTCCCTACTAAGATATAAAATTTTAGTTGAGAAATAAAATTACAATGCATTAATTTAAGTTCTTAATAAATCAAATGTAGATAAGTGAGAGCTGTTTAAGTATCCATTTTTAATTATCATTGAATTTATTTCATTCAACAATATTAATAAGTAAAATATAATTCTATTTTTGAAAAATATGACCATGTACCTACCTCAATAATATTGTATGTAAATTATATTGGTGTAAGATCCAAATGCATATGAAAAAGGAGAAATTATTGCTTTAATTCAATGTTAAAAAATAATGGGAATTTGATATCAAGGAAATTAAATATGGTGTTTATTCAGATATTTTAACTATAATACATTTATGATTGTATTTTTTCAAGGGAGCATTATGCCCGTTCTTAAAATAAAAACAAATAATATTATTATGTTATTATATAATTTTCATGGGACATGGGAGGTACTACAGGGGGGAAAATTAGGCAACTGCCCCTCTTGCCGACTGTACCTATTTTAATATTTAGTTCCTTGAATCTCGGTTTCCTAACTCTAAAAAGATATATTTTTATTGTATTTTCTATACAAAATTTGTTGCAGTAACATAAATAGGCTCACAAGCATAGATAATGAATCGAGAAAAATAAGACAACGGAAAAAATTAAATATAAATGTGAACACACGTACCTATACTCATGTCTCATACTCCTTATTAGTAATTACTAATTACCTTGTGATGTGCGCCTATAGCAAAATATAATTTTATATTATAATGAAAATATTGTCATCAATTATCATGAGCAATTTTTGTATAAATGTAGTGTATTGTGTATATACACCTAAGATGTTATACTTATACCCCTGATGTGTTTTTACTTATAACTTAACACTGTATATTTTGTATAGATAAGTTTAAATTTATGTTTAAATTCTTTTTTCTATTAAAAGTTGTTTTTCATATACAATTAATAGTTAAGTATATGCCATATTCAGACATAAAATTATTTATATTTGAAAATTTTCATTGAATAAATAGATAAAAAAATGTTTCATATTAATTGAGTCTTCACATATAAAATTTCCTGTATTGACTATAATAATTGATGAGTTATTAGTCACTAATTAATAGTAGAGTATAGGTACATGTGTTCATATTCATATTTAATTTTTTTTTCTGGGCTTTTTTTTGTGGACTTTTCTTCTGCCTACTAAATTAATTGTATTTAATAATTTAGGTGACAATGATCCAGATGATCAAGGACGCATGGAGTTATAAGATAATTAAATAAATATATAAATTCTTATTATTTTTTTTAAATACAATTTAGATACAACAATTATTATGAATTAAGTTCATGTTATTTTTTCCAATAGTAGGTATTAGGTACTAGCCTAAAAATGTAGACTAATTTAGTGATATAAACAGTTAATATTTTCTGCCCCCCCCCCCTACTAAGAGAGTCTAGTACCACCTATGATGATTTTTACCTAGAACATTTTTAATGTACCTATTTTAATGATTATTTTCGCTATCATTTATTATTTTATTTTATTATAAGTAATTATATGCCTTATGAATACGGGTTATATATTATTTCTTAAAACAATTGTACCAATATACTTCTTTTGTTTAAATGCCTAAACATTCAATCATTTTTGTGATTTTCTAATATTTTTTTTACTTCAAGTTAGAAAGAATTTAATTTGGTTTTATTTTAAACTGTATTTTCATTAAATTTAGTTTTATGATGCTTTTTAAAATGTTGAGATTGTCTGCTTGCTGATTTATACAAAAGTTTCATTTATTTAAAGGCATTTAAATCATAATTTATGAAAAAGAAAAATTTAATTGGTGAATAAGCCTTATAGTTATTTTGAGTCTTACATATTCAACTATTTTTATGCCAACTTCATCTTATGACTTATGGTTTAAGCATTTTTACCTCTGATTATAAAACTTTTTAAGCCCATTATTATTTTTTCTTTTTATAAATTGGATTTTTATACCAAATATTTTTGATAATTTTTCAATATTTTGAGAATACCAAACAGTTAAGACGTATTTGACTATTATTGTAACCAATAACTATTTAATGTAATTCTAAATAATATTCTATGTGTACTGTTACTGTGTAGTATTAAAGAATTTAATAATAGTCGGATAAGCACACCCCGTGACTCTTACCTACTTATACAACTTATATTCATTCAGGGACTTTGTTTAATTATTGATTATTCAGTTTTGGAAGAGTTTTTCATCTGGTTAAGTTTGTTAAGGGATAGAGGCCCATTTTCTTTGTTGCACACCCCATAGCAAATTCCCACTTCCTATGCACACTTATGAGTATAAGACTGAACTAATATTACAAATTGAAAATAATATAGACTACAGAGCATTAAATAGTAGGTAGGTATAACTTAAAATTAACTTAAAATTTAAAGTAGTATAGAAAATTATTTTTCAACTTTTAATTTTTATAGTTCAAATATAAGTATGCAGGGGCATCCGTAAATAGTTTTGATGGGGGGAGGAGAACCTATTTTTTAAATCAATAATCTGGTTATATCTCGATAAACCAATTTCAAACGTTTGGAGAACTTAGTCAATTTTATCAACTTAAATTTTTTTTATAATAAGACTACATTAAAAAATATATTAATTTTGCATTAATCTCTCTGATCAATCTTTTTAAAATGGGTATCTAAGTATCTTTAATGCAATAGGTACCTCATCATAATTCTGTGCACAAAATAATCGAGTACCTAGCTGGTGTATACTGTGTAGTAAAAACATCATATACTACCTACTCTATTAAAACACGTGCACGCCTATGCTACAGATATAACATTTGAGAATACTTATAGCCTATAGGAAATAGGACCGGTCTTACCATCTCCGATTAAAGTTGATGGATATTGGATAGTATGTAAAGAAGCATTAATTTATTGTGTTTATGGATTTAAGATCGAATGTTTCTAATGATATTGTTTTTTAAATGTATGTTTATTTTAGTCACTAGCAAAAGTGATGATGATTTAAATAATTCTTTCCAATAGTTCCAACCATATCAGCATTATCAACTATATGAGACTTAGAGATTAAACATTCAAAGAACACTTCAGAATGCACAACCATACATTTGATGTACATGCTTAGGTAATTACTAATTTATAATTATTTTCATTCACCAATGGTAGTAAATACAGCTGTCATAACTCATAATTTTCTATATTTCACAATACGTATAAAGTATGTGTTTTATTATTAAATAAGCGTTTTACATTAGTAAGAATATTAGATCAGTCAAAGTATCACTATATGCATCCAATTGTATAGGTATTTGTATGGCTACAGGCTATCCCGATCTCCTATAAAAGTATTGCTGAGAGATTTCAAATGAACCATAGTATAGAGTACCTACTTAGTAACATGTACAGAACGATAATTTCTAGTGTAGCTTGTGAACCACATTAAATGGCCCACAAACGAAATAAAAGGTGAGGTGAGAACTTGTACTTACTTATTGGAATACGTATTCGAACTTAAAACTATTATAAATGTTTACAATAGCCAGTAGGTACCTACCTTACATGTAGGTACAATATATTTTTCATTGATCCAGCGACTGTATAATATTTTATTATTGTATTTTGAAGTTCAATTCCGAAAAAAAACCGTTATGAGTTGTATTATCTAGTTAAATTGAACATTGTTTTTATTATACCCGCTATACCTACAATATCATAATTTAAACACGAATAAGTATAAATCATAAATTTAATAATTTAAAATGCAAATACCTACTTAAGTACCTACTTAGG